ATAAATGCAGAAAGTGTCTTCTGAATAAAGTAGTATACATTTTATAAATCTATCGCTTCACAAACAACAATTGCCCCTTTCATAAAAAATCTTATTCTTTTGTTCTTCACATGTTTCATAAAAAATTGAAAAAAAAATAATTTTTTAAATTTAAAAGGATAGTGGCATAAATGTAAATTTTTAAATAAAAGTATAGATGGACAAACTCCAAAAAATGACAGTTACAAAAATACCACTTTTTATGTGTACATTTGCAAGAATGCCACTTAGGGGTGTCTGTTTACAAAAATAGCACTAATTATAGATTTAGAGTATATATCTTAAAAATCTAAACCCTAAAACATGTTTTGACACCTAAAACCCCCTAAACACTCAAAACTAAACTATAATAGAACATAATTAACCCAAACATAAATAATATAAAGAAAAAATAATTTTGAAAAAGTGGCATTTTGTAAAGATTTCAAAAGTGTGGCATTTTTGTAAAGTAGCACTTGAAAAGTGGCATTTTTTGAAATTTCTCAAAAAAGTCTTTTATTTCCAATTTTCCCATAGTTAAAAGACCTAAAAAATTGAATGTAACCAATAGCAAACCCACACAAAAAAGGGAAAATTGAAATTAAAAGATGTTTTTTTTTTACTTTGTCCATCTATAACTTTATTATTTAAGTTTAGTGATATATACTTTAATTTAGGTAAAATCCTATTATGCCCTTAATTTTAAATATTATATTTAATCATTTTTTTAGGGAGTAATTTACAACAATATTTATTGGTTCAGTTGGTTGATGAGTTAGAAATTCTTGATTGATGTCTCAAGTTCGAGGCTTCCTTCTCTTTTTTGTTTTAATACTTTTTATTTAATCAATGAGAATATTTTTTTTAAGACAAAAAGAACCAAGTATCAACCTCGTAAATCATAAACTCTAGTTACTGAATCGTTACTAAACCAACACAAATTGGTTTGCAATTTTGATTTATTCCCGAATAATCAAGAAACCAAAAATGGTTTTCTGTTTGTTTAACAACATTTTTTTGTTAATGAATTATAGAGTTTGAATGCAACTACTCATGCTTTTAATTCGAAACAATAATAACAATCTTACTAATTTAGTCATATTTTTTTAAGTTTCACTAATGATTTTTTTAAAAAACATTTTCTAATTATTTATGAAGGCCCTTCTAAATCATTAATCCTTTTAAGAGATAGTTAATGTGTTTGCTCTACATTTACTTACAAGTCTACTTTATACTGCAAATCTTTAATCACTTATACTTGGTATATGTACACTATGCATTAGTTACATACATTTGATCATGTTCAAATTCTAAACACGTGAAAAGAAAGAAAATTCATCAGAAAAACGCTAGAATATATAGAAGAGAAATCAATAATTTACTGAATTCTGAAAAAAATAGAATACATATTCTAAATTTTACAGAATATAATCGAATAACATATTTGATTTCATAAACTGCTAGATTCATATAAAAGATTTCAAATATTTAGTTTTCTTAATCTCTGAATATCTACAATAATTTAGAATTGATTTTCTAAAGTTTTGAGAACATAGAGCAAATAGCATAATACATATTCTGCTATTTTTAGAATTAAGTAGAAGACGCATTCTAGAGTTTGTTAAC